TTTATCTCAGAATAAAGATTAGTCTCAAAGAGTACTTCTTTTGTCTTTGTCTTGTGTCTTATAAACCATTACATAACAATGTCCTGTCGTTAGTGTTACATCAAGTCCTACTCGAAGATCCGTCACCATCTACAGGTAACCTCAGCAGCGAAATAAAGGCACATCAAGATAGAGTACACTTTTTGCAAACGGAATTGAAAAATGTCTTGAAAGAACGCAAAGACTATCTCTTGCAAAACAACGTCAATGGAGAGAAAAAGAAATGGATCAATAAGCGTGCTGAACCATCACAGCAGCAAGAGTCCGAGCATAACAACCAGTTGTACCAAAGGATAGAACAGATAAATGCGCGTAAAGCTGAATTCAATACAAGAATACGCAGAATGAAAGAGGTATTATCAACCGAAAGAGCAAATACCTATCTTAAGCGAAAACAACTTGTTTTGCCAAGTACAAAGGTAAGAGACAAAAACTAGTAAGATTAGAAGAGAATAGAAAAAGGACAATAAGTCAGTGAGGCTGAAATATATAATGTCTTTATTTACGATGAATAAAACAGTGGTATTTATACTTTTTAACATCTACAATCAATAATGATAATTGGATATCATGAGCGTACCTATAAGCGTCTAGCTACAATGGGAATAACTGGGAAGAACCTAACTAGTATTAACTATTGGTTCGATGTATGTTCGAGGTGCCTTGTGGATGAGGCGATACATGATCTGACAATGTCTTGTCGAATAAGGAGCCGTTGTCCTGGAAGTTAGAGCACAGACGTTTCATATGGATATTGTAACGGCGCCCTAAGAGTAAACTCACATATGATAGGCCATATATGGAAGAACTCCTAACCAAGTAACGATTACTACAAATATTTATTGATAATGTTGTGATGGCACAACACAACTGACTACTTTACCCAATAGGACTAGAGAGGAACAAAGAGTGCGTATTATTACACAAAATTTATTCAAGTGTATCGACAAAGTAAAAATATGAAGATAGACAATGGCTTATCAAAATTGGGTAAAATTACATTTTCGGGCACTGATAATGGTCTTGTCACTATGACGGAAACTGCTGACTTTGACATGAAAAGATTTAAATTCCACCTTGATCTATATAACAAACACGCTGCTTTAGAAAACCTGTCAGAAGAAGGTAAGGTGGATACTGATATAATGGATCGTGCTGTTACTAACATTAATATGCTCAATCATTACGTTTCAGGACAAGAAACAAGTGAATATACTATTCAAATACCCTCATACATGTAGTTACCGAAGCCATACAGGGTCCATGCATTTGAAGTTGACTACAAAAACGGTGCACAAAAATATAAAAAACAGCGTGAACGTGCTAAAAACCTTACTGATATAAGACGCCAAGTGATGGAAACCGAGGCCCTTTTAAGCAAAGTTGATACGACTAGTGCTAGAAACCTTGAGCATTTAAATGAACTGCATAATATGTATATTGAACATAAACATATTATACGAAATTTCTACTACTCGCCAAGTCGACTGAAGCAAAAAAGAGCTTACGAATTACAAAAGCGCAAATACACTGACAGACTTTGTTCAAATGAGCGCAGATATGCTACATCTTCTAGAAAGACAGAACTTACCATATTTGCTGGTGACCGTGGTTTAGGTATAGGTTCACAAATCAAAGGATATATGCGATGCGGTGGTCATTGAAAATCTTTGAGTCATAGTCTGTATACCTCTGTATGTATAACGAACGAACACAATACTTCCCAAACGTGCATCTATTGCTTTCAAAAACTGTCTCATCCAGTACAAGCAATTTACAAGAATGGTACAGGACGATTGCGAACAATTAATGGCGCGTTTATCTGTGACAACCCAAGTTTTGTCTCTGTTCAAGCAAAGAAGGCTGTAAAAGGAATAGATAACTTATCTGCAATGGAAATTGGACTTTCCGGTTTAGCTTCACTCCTTTTTGATGCAATATTTCCTCAAATTGATCCGCAAGCCAGTCAACCCAACACTGATAAATTTAAAACGAATGCCGCTTCTTTCTTTACTGCAAACGAAGATAGGCCTGCTGTCGATGACAGTAATATTTCTTGAAAGGTAAGCCTTCTTTGATAATTTATTAACCTGTACTGAGTGCTTAACAATAATAAATATTTAATACTTTGAATATTTGATATTTTGTAAGTGAAAAAAAGGAACTATTTCATGTCATTGACTGTTTTACTAAATGCATTTATTTGTGTCTCAACTTTGGGACCCGTAGTTCATTTACCTTATCAGTATGATTTATACTCGACCATTAAACTCAACCCCTCTGCTTGTAGTCTTTATCATTTTGCACTGTTGTTCAACACTCTCTATAATCTGACATAATGACATCAAAAGCTATATATAGAGCATGTGTTTATCATCTTTGCCTTGAAACCCCCAGAGAAATTGTGAATCCTTCTGAAAAAATCACCTACGAAAAGATCACGGCAAGTTTGAAGATAAGTTGCGGTTATTACCATTTTACGAAAATTGAAATATTTTTTTTCGTAGACATTGTTTGGAAAGTGAAGAATTACTGAGCAGCTGATTTGTAAATGGGCGATGAGTAAACAGTAACTTCCAATTGTATCTTTTTATTTTAGTAAATAAGAAGTGAAGAAATATATAAATTATTAATACAGTGTAGCAATATACACCACATTGTAGTGTATATTATTAGCGTGATGTCACTATGTCCACAGACTCTTTTATATACAATATAATTTGGACAAGTACTGTACAAATTACAGTAAGTTCTTTGGATACTATATAAGTCAATATCAATACTAAAATGAAACAGGAATTACAAACTGGAAAAAGAAAACTTAACAAAGAAAGGTCAACAGATAAAAATAATTAGAAACCAAAAGCTTTAATCATGACAACGTTTTCTGTTGCGTAGAATCGTTCACATTACCAAGTCTGATCTTCAGAAATTTATAGGTAGCAATCAAAGCTTCCAGTATTCGATCTAATATGTTTCGTATAGAACAATTATGATGCCTAATATATGTGTGTAGCGTGCAGTAACCACTATACAATATTGGAAAATCTTTGCGTCCAAATCGATACCTAGTCCATTCAATATTCGTAGTGCCTCTTTGAATATTCAATCCAACAAGAAAAGCGCGACTGTAAATATCAACATATCATTACAAGATCTTGAGATGATTTTATCTTTTTCTCAAGTCCCTGTAACATTAAACATGAAAATAGGTGAAAAAACCTCAGCTACTGAATATAAATCAATCTCTTCCATACGTGATGACTACGTTCACTGGTGTCTACGAAGATTATATCTTGGGTTACTAAGACATATGCTTGCGGTCAGCTTTTGGATGGGTCAATCCTTGTTGAAGGCAATGAAGCACTTCTAATTAATTACATTGAGCTGTATAATTGTAAACCATCATTAAATCCGCATTATGAGAGATTTGGATCACGTTATATGGTTGGTAGTTGCCCTTCCATGAACAATAAATACAACAACGTCAACACCATGTCAAAGGTTGAAGACAAATCAAAAAAACTCTTGATCGGTACCCTTGTTTTCAATGGACTCGTGACTTCAAGCATTCGATTATATCAGATTCATCCTACAGAAGTTGGAACTTCCACCTTTCTCTTCTCACCGACCAAAGAAACCAAAGTATACGTTTCATCAGGAAGCACCGAACAAGTCAACAGAACGATCAGTCAAAAGCTCGAAATTACCAATTCACATGATCTTGGTTCCCAGCTTAGACAAGTTAGATCACGACTTACTAGCCCAAGAACGTATGTCAGCTCCAGGTTTTCTTCACAATAGACTGAGCAGGCATGTTGTCGGCCATATATCATCTTCGCTTTACTAGATAAAGGCCAAGCAGATCCGACTCATGATTTCATAGTAGCGTCCAGCGCTCTAGTCAATGTTGTTGATTCCATGCGGTTTGAGAAAGATTTTTTAAAGAAAGGCGTATTATTAGAAAGTATTGCAGGCAGCAAAGAAATCAGATCAAAAAAGAACTTTTACAGCATATTTTAGATTTGTTTAGCGATGAATATACTTTGAACATAATAGGAAATTCAGAAGTCGAAGGACTGCTAGTTGAATTAGCAGAAATATATACCCAACAGCTAAAAGCGGCCAACGAAGGTATCAAAAATACTATGGTAGATTGCTTAAAGGGACTGGGAGCAGAGTAATCACAATAACTATGATTCGGGTCAACTGAAATTATCTATAATGAAAATCAAAATGTTACCTCCGCTCCAGTTTCCAATGTAGAAAGGTTCTCTGCAGAAAAACTTGAATTGGTGATTTGTGAACCCAGGATGAGCGTCGTTGTTGGTTTGTAATAAAATCTTTCAAAAGCCCGAGTATTTCTACTCCAATTGGCATGTTGTTCGACATTTTCAACTGAGTGGCCCTTCTTGAATGCTTTAGTACTAGCTGCTGAGCAGATTGAGTGCGAATCGTATTTTTCGATGCCAATACCAGCTTGCTTCATGGTATCTTTAACCCAATTTGCTATTGTTGCTTCCTTGGCGGAACACGTCTTATGAGTGTCTTCAATATAGGCTAAGAATAATTTGTGTTCCAACGGCAGGTTGATTCTCAAAGGCAACGTTCTTTTAAAGAATGTGTGTAGTGTAAATACAGGAACAGGACAAATGCTTGAACCTTGAACTATTCCAATAGTACATGGTTTCAATTGGGTTTCTTTGGGAAGCTGGAAATAGATTATGGCGCCTACTAAAGTACCTTGACTATCATATTCCAGCCGTGTATCTCTATATTGGATATTATCTATGTCTGATCTTGACCTAGCTATGATAGCAATGTATAGTAGGACAATGGTCTTTCGTTGAAGGCTTATGAGTGTGATGTTCTGGTTATTACCCAAGTTGGCCTTGATATACTGAATGACCACGACAACATCCCATGTTTTCAATTTATGACCTACTGGCACAGGTACCGGTTGGTTGCGTTGGGAGCTGAAAAATATTGAATTAACGGTTGGTAAGCAATAAGTGCTTGGTAAGGATAGGCATTCTTGAGAACTAATGCAATAGCTGCTCGAATAGTATTCAATGTTGGGTGCTAAAATGCTTGTTATCAGTTAAAAATGCCACAATATTGTTAATATTGTATTCCTCAGAGTTCAGGTTTTGCTTCTGGTACCAAGTTACTCAAATTTTCCATCTATTGTCATATGTTTTCCGCGTGCTTGACCTTTGAGTGTCTTCTAAGAATCTCATTATTTCCTCCGATACTCCTGTTGCTTCCTGTGCTCTCCGGATAACAGCCATGCGACTAAAATTACCTTTGGATTCAACTGGTAAAACATTGGTTTGCTCAACTTCTTCATCTCTAGTATCATTAGATGCCAAAATTGTGTTGGCTACCACGGGATTCCCAGTGCTATTTCCTTGATTCTCTTCATTTTTTATCATTTGCAGTATCGGTAAAATCAGCTTTCGCGAGGGGTAAGCATATAATCCCATCATTGGTCCATGTTGTAGGAATGCATTTGTTACTGCTGCTTGTGGGTCTGGTCTCAGACTCCAGTAAGTTGGTAGCTGTGCATTCTGCCTGGTAGCAAACATGTCGATGACCAAAGGTCCCCCATCTATTCACAATGGCCTGAAAAAATTTCCTTAGAATTGTGCTTTCGTAGAGTTTCTTGATACGGGATAATCTATCCACTTCCACATTGTTGATCCCCTTGATATGTTGGTAGATTATCTGGAGGTTGTAACTGCTGCGCGCATCTTGCATCTGCACTGCTATATTCTGTAAGTGTACGAATGCCGTGCTGCCCGCCTTGGTCGTATATTTGATGGATGCCTTGTTGTGCGTGAGAATCTTGATAGTGGAAATTCTGAATCTTTCTACGTGTAGCTTCAGTGCAGATAGGATACTTTGCAGTCCTCTTACGTTTATTGACATTTGTGCCTCTTCCTTCGCCCAGAACCTGTACATTTGCATGATCGGTGATTGTACTCCCCAATCCGTGCCGGGTAAGCCATTCTTCTTGGTCAAAAATGCCTTCCACCAGTGTAGTTCCTCCACCGCTTATTGATCCAGATGACATGGCCCTTCCCAATTGTATTCCTGTGTCGACAAACTTCTCGATAAACTTCTCTGAATATGACGTATGTGTAATAATGTCTCTCCTGCTGCTGGAATTATCGTTGTGATATTGCCTAATAGACCCATCATCCATGACATGTTCTTACTGTGGGTGTCATCACTTGCTTGATTCGTTGCATTAGTTTGTTGATCTTCAAGTTTGGGGCTCCGATTTTCATCTTCTTGGTGTTGAGCTCGAAAACTAAATACTCTTGAATATGGGATGGTGTCAGTAAACTCTTTCTTCGGTTGATAATGAAATCCAGTGATTCTAAGTGTGCAATTACCCTTTGAGCCGTTTGTTGTAGGTCTGAGGGTCTTGTGACGAAATAAAAATATCGTCTAAATAATAAACCGTTTTTATGCCTTGTCTTCTTAAAGGCTCGATGGCATATCAAAGTATTTTTGAAAAAATCCTTGCAGCGGCATTTAGTCTAAAGCTCAGCGCTTTATACTGGTAGACTGTACCAAGGTTTTCGGATACTAAAAATGATCTTGAATTTGGGTGGATTGGTACTACTGTATATGCATCTTGTAGATCAAGTTTCACCATGTAATCGTTTGGTTCGGCTAGGCCTCTCAAGGCTGGAACACCTTTAATTTTGAAGTGCTCAACCTGAATAGATTGGCTAATCCGGCGACAGTCCAGAATTGGCCTTCTCTTGGTGACTTCTTGAAGGATGAAAAACCTAGAGAAGTAACCTTTTGCTCTTAGATCTGTACACTTTTCTATTTTCTTGCATTTAGAAATTTGTCTATGGCAATATTTACTTCCTTTGTTCTTCTACGAGAATAGATCTTCTTGGCGGGTACCATGGTTCTGGAATTTTTGCAAACTAGATCTGGTATCCCTCCTGAATCAGTTTCAATGGCCATGAGTGTTTGATTATCTTCGTCCAATTGTTGTAGAATCTGGTCAGGCGGCCCTCGAAAGGATGTTGTCTGCTGGAATTGTGTATTTCTGTTGAACAAGTTGTGGTTGTAGCTGTTGTGGCAGTGGTAGTGGTTGCTGTAATTGGTGAATTGCTGCTGTTGATTGTTGTCGGTGAGAGTGTCTGTGCTGCTGGTTGAAGAGGTGAAACGGTTTCCACGACTGTTCCCTCTCTGGTGAAAATTCCCACCGAAAGGTCTTGCGTTGAGGCTGGTATAACCCCTGTTTGATACTCTGAGCCCTTCTCTTCCATAAGGATGTCCATGCTGCTGATTATTGTTGATGTTATTTTTAGAGCAAACGCTGTTGGAATTTGGCTTGTTAAAGATCTGCCATAGATTCTTGGTCAAAAGTGTTGTCTGCTCTATCCTATTCAGAGGGCTTTCCCTTGTGTTGCATACTGGGCGGTAATCTAAAGGCTTTCGTGACATAATCTCTAGCATCATTATCTTGGAGCTTAGCATGTCCAAAACCGAAGGATGCAGGCCTTGCAGCTTGATCAATGGTTCTCTCGAAAATTTCTTTGTCTTCGGAATTCTCAAATTGAATTTTTTCTTGTAAACAAAGGAGTTGTTCGTATATTTCTGTCGTTGCTCTTGCTTATGTTCTAGTGTTCTCTGAGTACTTATAGATAGAGGCGATAACTTGATGGGTGTCAGTCTTCCACTTCTTAATTTCAGGAATAAGTTCTTTGTTGATTTGATATTGCTTGTTCCAGTTGTCGTTCTTGTACTTGGCGACCTGTTTTTTAAACCTTGCACACCCTTCTTTGAGTTCATATGTTGTTGTGCTATTCAGATACTCTGATATCTCTAGTGGCAATCCGCAACCATGCCTTTCTTCGGTTTGCAGTCTTTTGAAGAGTGCAAGTACGTCTGTTCCAGTGAGAAATCATTATGGATTCATTGTTATTGATATAACCCATAATTTATTCTACGATGCATGGCTTTGAAAGATAAAAGAGGAAAAGGGGTTTAAAAGTTTATTATTATATTTATATGAAAAAAAAAGCGCGGCTCTGAGAGCATTTACTATATTGGAGGCCAGAGCAGAGGCAATTGAGATTGTTCTAGGGACAAATAACAATTTCATATATTGCAGAAGTAGTACTGTTCTCTTATCGAAGCAATATAAATATCCTTGTCTTTTGCTGTTTTTTGCAATAATCAATCTTTGTATCAATCACTTTTTCCTAATATTTTATTTACTGCAAAAAGCAAGTTGTATTCTTATTTGTTTTATTTTTTTTTAAAAAATAATATGCAAGAAAGATAAGATAATTACCTATAAACTCAAATATCATCAAGCTTATTCGCAAATTCTTGCTTAATTGAAGTGATTTTAACATTTATTTTGTTTTATAGCAAACCAATCTATAATATTAAAGCAAATAGCAACATTTATGAACTATGCTTAACTGCAGGGTCTAGTTCATTTCTTGTATTGCAATAAGCCTGACTTATTTATATTCGCAAAATATCAGTAGCAGTGGAGAAGCTTTGAAACTGCTTTTGAAGTAATTTTATTCATCATTCAATTTTGATGAATTTCGACTGTCATATTTAAGGGTGCTATAAGTATCTCATTTTATGATAACGGAAAATAATTCGAAAATATAAATAAACGATGTCTTTCTTAAAAAAAGATAAGGAAGTATTATTCATTGTATCTCGTCTATGTTTTTATTCAATAGTTTCTTCTGCTCATAAGAGCGTCAATCTTTTCTCTCTTTATTTCTTTATACTTCACTATAAGGATACCAAAATATAAACTATCTTTATAATGTATCTACCTTTACCGTCAATCTAAGAACCAAGTACTATTAGTATTTTGTGAAGCAAAGCACATGACGATCCTTATTTTTAATTAAGGTCTGCAACTACGCGCACTGGAAAAAGGAGCTTCCATAATAAACAAAAATTTATGGTACGAAATAAAAACTGATGATTTGATGGACTATTTTTCTTTTTATAAAAAATACAACTAAATAAAAATGCCAGCAATTTCAAAAAGTACTCTTCACAGTTCAAGCGTATAAAGGCTTGATTTCTTACCGTTCCATTTGAGAAAATAACTAGATTGTTGGTATTTCTTTATATTTTAAAAGAATAAAAAATAAACAGGATTTACTATAACGATCAATTATATTCATGAATCCCTGGCTAACAGAAAAAGCCTCACATGAATACAAATCCTTCCATAAATCAAAAATAACACTATGAACGACATATTTTTAACTATTTTTTAAATTCCAGATACGCTCCTGCATTGTATTTGGGGCATTAATAATTAATTGCTCAAAACCTTACAGAGGTTTTAATAAGGATCTTTCTCTTTTCTTTATCTTTCATTTATAACTGTTTGTATTCATTCTTATTCAACGAGGTTACGTTTTTCAGAGCAAAACAATCCTTTTATTGTGTTCCGTACTAAACCAATGCTTCAGTAGCATGAAAAACAGCTATTATATTATAATATTTTTCCATCAAATTAAATCATATGACCATCATAGTCAAAAGCAGACCACCTCCAACAGGGTTCAATTTGCATAGGTCACGGTAGATATATGCTATATCAAACAGACAGCTTTTTCCAATTAAAAAAGTTTTGCTTGTTTTTATTTTTCTTCTGTTATACGTATCCAACGAAGTTTTCACATCTTTTTAGTTTCAGAAAAATACATTGCTTAATATTTATTCTTTCCGACACCAAATTAAACTTTAAATTTCAAAGTTTGCTTGTTTTCTTCACATTTATTTAAATCTAATTACAAATTTCGGAAAGTGTTGTTCAATAGGAGTTCTCATTTGCATTATACAGTGGGTATTTTCACTGATATTTCTTGATAGAATTCTATTTATGCGCAAATACAAGCATTTTTCTCTAATAAAGCATCGAAATCATAATTGATGTCAGTGTTCCAGCTACTTTGTCAAGAATATCGCTTTCCAATTTCTTTTTTATTTTACTATTTGTATAAAGATATATATTGTATATATCAAATGAATAACCTTTTTTTCACCTAAGCGAGGAAAAGAATAACTAGATATTCTCATTTTGCTGCTTAGTCATATTAGATTGACTGTTAGTTAATATCACATGAGTGACATACAACCGATATTCAATAAACATATAGTTTGCAAATAGAACATGTGTCTTCTCGAAATCACTAACTACTTTCGTATTAGTATATCTGTGCCCTTTCATTTTATAGTTCAGCGTAGTGGGCGTGTCAAACTTTAGGGTCTTTAAAAAAAATTAGAAATAAATTCTATGTATAGTTTCCTAGAATATTAAAAATGCTTTGATTAACTGTCTATATTATGACACACAAGTCCTTATATTAACTGCTATGTTGTCTTCCATCCCATCAATCAAGATTTAATTAGAGCACCTTTGCAGAAAGAGTTCTGATAGTTACTAAAAGCCTTTGACTCGAGGTCCAATGCGAGCTATTTGCTGTTATTTTCATATTTAAAAAACTTCGCAAATGGCTATATAGCAAATTGTTTTCCTTGACATTGGTCGCAGGTCATTCATTTATTTCCATGCACAAATAGTCCCAAATGTCTCTATATTCAACTGTTTGGAGCATCTAAATGAGCACAAATATTGTATTTAGAATGTTATTCTTGTTTCATTCAGCAACTTTTATATAAAGAGATGAATATTTGTATTCAAAGGAGAGATTCTATTTAATTTGCATATTACTGAAAACGTATATGTAATTTTATATTGGATGAATTCACTTTATTCGTACTGATTACAGCCGTTTATCTCAATGTAGATTATGAGTAAAAATTATGCTCCGACATCGGCTTCTAAGAAGAGACGTAGTATCATCTCTAAAGGTCGTTTACTTAGTCGGCTTGGAATAAAACCATCTAGCAAATTAACCACTGTGCTAATCTTCATTGTATCAGTTTAGTACAAGAGACACAGGACACCATTTCACGGTGCTATGAGCATAAACTCTTGAGCGTTGTTAAATACATCATTTTCTTTCTTACACTTACAGTGTGATCTTTGAAAGAGGAAATAGATTCATACTTGTCATGGTTCATTTATTCCCTTGCTTCAATATCTTCAGAGCTGTTCTGGGTAAACAAGTCCTTACAAAAGGTAAGGAGCTTATTGAAAACTTTTGTAGTTTTGGTTAACTAAAAATTGCTAATGGTGGCAACGGAAAAGAGCTTGAAGATGCAATGGCTATCGAAGTGGACTATAGTCTTTGTGTTAGCGAAGAGCTATCAAGGTATTTCAGTCAATATGCTATCATTTTGAGATATTCCAGCTTTATACTTCCAACATTAATACACATAACACTATAGAGAATTACTTTTGTATCAAATTAATCCTATTTGTTGAAGCGATAATTTCTAAATTCATCGAACAGGGATTCAAGTGTGTCATTGATTAGCCATTCCTGTTCTTTTTAATTGGCATTGAAAGAAACAAAAAGCCGACAGTATTTATTCACAAAGCAAGAGCGTAATAATTCGTGTTTTATTATATATTTACAGTTATGTTATCAAAATTACTGCTAAATCAGGTAAAAGGGTTTCAAAACGAACTTCTTTGCCTAAACTTGGCACTTATATTTATAATTCTCACAGTGAAAACAAGTGACTATTATCTTGGTTCATCTAGGCGGTTGGCCTTTTTTTGTCATCAGGGTTTTTATGACACTAGCTACTATGATCTACTCAACTATCGACTTATCTCTTTTCTACATTATTATATCATCATTCATAACTTTGCAGCATTTTACGAAGATTATCAAGTGGTAAATCATATCTTTGTTGATATGGCCAAAAAATGTATTCTTTATTACTCATACCAACAGAATGGCCACAAAGCAAAACAATTTCATCAGCATTGACTACTTTTATCTTGGAGGTAGCAGAAGAGGTCTTGTATAGTCAAATACAGTTTTTATTTATCTTCACATCAGATGCTTTGACGAGGCTGGTAATCGTGAGCTTCCATCCGGAGGCTTGTATTTCAAGTATGATACAGCTTCGCTAAAGTAAGTCAACTCTTTAACTGAGGCCCTTGGCCCATTTTGTTTGTTTATATCGACCCTGATACAAAGCTTAATAAAGAAGCTTGTTATATTGTCTTCTTTATGGTTCATCGAACACCCAAATACAGCCTGGTCTGGACTCCACAGCCTACGTCCAAACTTGACAATACTTTTTAGATCAAAGTCAACGTGAGTACTGAGGTCCTGGTTTTCGAAGTATTTCTTCATGAGTGTAGAGCAGTCAAAGCCCAAGATATCAGCGCTGTTTCCCAATTCTACGCGGCTATTAGGTCCCCAAATCGTATATTTGTTCTTTTCATCGTCATCTAGCAAGGCCACACCAGCCTCTTCTTTACCGCCAGCCGCAGCCATACGTTTTGCCCAATGCAACGAAGCAAGCTCAAGCAAAACATTTCTGCAGTCGGTAGTAGGATCTTTTCTTGATTTCGTCTTTGACTTATACTCTTGGCTTGTTCTCTCAGTAGAAAAACGACATAAGAAGGCATCGGTTCCAAGTACAGATCAGATCAAGGGCGTGTAGTAGAAGATGCTGATTGATGCTAAGAACCTATGGCTATAGCTTACCTGCACCGACAAGTTCTTTTAGCCAGAAACTCCATTCCAAGGCCGCTGCATACAGCTCTGCTACATCGTTTTTCTTGATTTCTCTTTGGCAAACATGGTTGGCTATTCTGAATACACACATGATCTTCTGCTGAATTCTTTTTCAAGGTAGCAGGCTGCAACTGTCTTGACAAACCGTATCTCAAAAAATTAATCCAGTTTACTGCTTGCTGACAGTGAATGAATAAGTGGTGACCATGTTTGCTATTTGTGGCTCAATATTGCTACTAAATAAGTATATCAAATCCATAGGAAAGAAAAATGCACTATGAAAATGCTTGAGATCAGCAAATGGTGTTGGAAGCTGTTGACCTATGTCTTTGTCTGCTGCCTTAAACGAGTTTTTACTTCGAAAGGTGAGACTGCTGGATGGGAAAAAAAGCACTTCTGTTTTCCATTCTTGCTAGTTTGATGATGCAATATCTGCGTTCGCATAGGTGGAAATGGTCTGATTGGTCAGCAAGCTTAATACAGACAGGGATGCCAACAGATGCAAACAAAGGATGTACATTGACGATCATGCTTGAACCCGACAACTTGAAACCTTTCGGCTTGATGAATGGAAAAAACCTGTTGGAGACTTTGGGCCGAGAGCAGCGCATACATGCACACCTTGCTCACTTTCAGTATTCGGTATGATCAAGAAGTTAACATTTGAAAATAAGGAATATCCAAGAGCTTTACTATTGAGAGATTCACACAATATTTCTTAAATTTAAAGAGCATATAGATATTAATAAAAATGCATGTAGCTTATTTTTAGCAAAACGATGGCTTCAAATTGGAAAATAAAACAAATTGACAGAGGGCGTTTATTACAGAGACTGTTTATACAACAACAAAGTAGAACAAGGCAAGCTGATATATAAGCAGGTATATAAGCAGCCAAAAGAATCAAGAGAGTCAAGAGAGTCAAGAGAGTCAAAGAAGTCAAAGAAGTCAAAGAAGTCAAAGAA